TTATCTATGTCCCTGAGCTTGTTTTCCTCCATGAGGGTTTGGATTCTAGAGTCTCATTTCTGTTTTTGCAACATTTTGAACTTGTAATAAACAAAAAAATCATAAAAGAACATGCCCATGGCCTGATTTTGAAGTTTGTTTTGGTCATTTAAAAATGACTTTTGGATTTTTTTCATACGGAAGGCTGTAGGCTTCAGGTGGAGGACTTTATCAATGAAACCGACTGGACAAAAGTAATTGAGTTAAGATTGTCCGGAGCCCCAAACAGAGCCCCGGACCAGAGGTGACTCCGGTTCCACCTTAAGTGCGCGTGCAGGAGGCGGTGCCCGTGGCTGCGCGTGCCTCCAGTGGCTGCACCGGAACTGTGAGGAGCTGGTGCACACCCACTTGTCGTGCACTTTGGGAACTAATGCGTAAAAAGTGCCGTGGTCCGGGTCTCCGGCTGCAGATTTCTGAGCTCTCAGAGCTGTAAGCGACTCTTTACGGAACTTTGCGCAGACTTTTGCGCATTTTGGACGGACATTTGGGACATTTTTTGCGTTGTTTGTGCGCCAGTTGTGCGTAGGTTGTGTTTGCAGCTCAGAGGGCACGGAACGGGCTGCAGGACCCCGCAGGAATCGGCGGTTTTGAAGAAGGTAACTCGTGTTGTTTGTGTTGAATGCCAACGTCCGGGTGGCGCGTGTCAGGGGGACAGGTGACCGCACGAGACCCCACCGGACCAGAAGCCCAGGGTCCATCAAAGGCGTTCCACGAATAGCCCTTTTATCTGTGTGTCTTAAAAATAGAATTTGGCAGCTTCACTAAAAGAGACACACGTTCTTAAAATATTCATAAAATATATATGTGGGTCATGCTATGAAAACTGTTAAAGTTTGGGTCAATGACTTCTCATAGAAGTGTTGTGTTGTGCACCAAACACCAAGGCAAATTCCTTGTAAGTCTAAAAACCTACTTGGCAATAAACCTGATTCTGATTATGATGACATTCAAAGAGGGATAGGAGGCATAATAAAACTGTTAGCCCGATTCTTTAGTTGGAAACCTGAGAATAAACCAGAGTGGAACAAAAGTATAAAATTGACATTTATTGGACACAGTTAAGTGTTAATCACTGGGCTCTGACAGACTAAAACCTCTCTCTGGGTCTCAGTGGTAAAGAGCCCTGAGATCTGGGTGATGGGCATTATCT